GCAGCGCGGCCTCCCCCCTGCACGGCGAGAGGCGGCGGGAGGCGCTGGCGGCCGGGTCTCCCATTCAGCCCATAATCAAAGGTGAGTCCTCTACTCTGTACTGGTGAGGCCACAACTGGAATACTGCATCCAGTTCTGGGCTGCCCCATTCAAGAGAGACAGGGGACTGCGTGAGAGAGTCCAGCATAGGGCAACCAAGGTGATTAAGGGATTAGAGCACCTCCCTTAGGAGGAAAGGCTGAGAGAGCTGGGGCTCTTTAGCCTGGAGAAGAGAAGGCTGAGGGGAGACCTCATCTGTTTACAAGTTCCTAAAGGGTGGGTTGAAGGATGATGGAGATGGGCTCTTTTCAGTGGTTCCCAGTGACAGGACGAGGGGCAACGGGCACAAGCTGGAATATAGGAAATTCCACTCAAAAATGAAGAGCTTCTTTCTGGTGAGGATGACAGAGCCCTGGCACAGGCTGCCCAGGGAGGGTGTGGAGTCCCCTTCCCTGGAGATTTTCAAGACCCGCCTGGATGCAGTGCTGAGTAATATGCTCTGGGCAATCCTGCTTTGGCAGAGGAGTTGGACTAGATGATCTCTAGAGCTCCCTTCCAACTCTGACAATTCCTTGATTTTGTAAAACAAGCTCTTAATTTCTGTAGACCACAAGTCCAACAGTTGCCGTTCATCTTTGCGACACCCGGAAGCAATGTATCTGAATAAAAACCGCTTCTCCTAAACCCAGGAAGTAACAAACAAACGAGCCTTGGGTGGTGGTGGGGGTTTTTTTTGGTGGGATTTTGTGTGTTTGCTTCCAGAAGTGCCGGGCGCGGGGCCCAGAGGGCGCCACTCACCGGGCCCCGGCGCCGCCGTTACCCTAGCAACGGGGCCGCGGCCGGCGCGCGGCGATGACGTCACACCCAGGCAGCGGCTGAGGCGGAAGCGGGGCGGGCGGGGAAGGCGCGAGGGCGGTGCGAGGGCTGCGGCGGCGGGGTGCTGGGGGGCCGCCGCCATGAGCGGGGCAGGGCCCGCGTCCCCCGGCCGCAGCGCGGCCTCCCCCCTGCACGGCGAGAGGCGGCGGGAGGCGCTGGCGGCCGGGTCTCCCATTCAGCCCATAATCAAAGGTGAGTAACTGCTGGAGAGGGTACCGCAAAGGGCCACAAAGATGGTTAAGGGCCTGGAGCATCTCTCTTACGAGGAGAGACTGAGGGACTTTGGTCTTCTTAGTCTGGAGAAGAGAAGGCTGAGGGGAGATCTAATTAATGTATACAAATACTTAAAGGGTGGGTGTCAGGAGGGCAGGGCTGGCCTTTTCTTAGTGGTGCCCAGTGACAGGAGAAGAAGAAACGGGCACAAACTTGAGTCTAAGAAGTTCCACCTACACGTGAGGAGGAACTTCTTTCCTTTGAGGGTGGCAGAGCACTGGAACAGGCTGCCCAGAGAGGTGGTGGAGTCTCCTTCTCTGGAGACATTCAAAACCCGCCTGGACAAGTTCCTGTGCAACATGCTCTTAGTGGACCAGCTCTGGCAGTGGGGTTGGACTAGAGGATCTCCAGAGGTCCCTTCCAACCCCATGTAATTCTATGATTATATGAATAGTAGCCGTGCCAATGCCCATGCCGTGCTTTTTGCAGCCTATTCTGCCTGACACAAAAGCTCAAACTCTGACTTTCCTTGCTCCTCTAGACGTTGGGGAAATCTATTCAAGGCTGCTGGATCACAGGCCCGTCATTCAGGGAGAAATACGTTACTTTGTTAAAGAATTCGAAGTAAGTATCTGTCTGTGGCACTTTAAACTGTTTGTATATCTTTTAAGAGGTTGTGTATCTTTTAAGAGGTGATACTATGTATCTTTGTACCTATGTGTCTATTTGCCTCTAGAAGGAATTGACATGTATTTCTTGTCCAAAGCAACTGCCAGCCCTCTAGTGTACGTCTGTATCCTTACTAAACAACACAGTCATTTAAGTATTTTTATTTACAAGCTTTTAAAGGGCCATAAGTTGTTTTTGTTTTTTTTTTCCTGGAAAAGACTGGCAGGAACATTGATGTAGGAGAATGATATAGTCCTAACATCTTAGAGAAGTCACGTTGGTTCAAGGAAACATTGTTGGCCATTACAGGTTTACATCCCCTTGAGAAACTACTTCGTGCCTCAGCTAGCAGAATTGTAGTTTAATTAAATTAATTTACTTGTCATTTCTTTTTTCTTTCATTTTTGTTCTATGAAAGAATGTAATCTTTCTGGAGGGAAGAGCAACACTTTCTGCAGAGTCAGAAAATCATTACACATTGAATTACTGTTATCTGATTGGCTGCAAATAAGGCTACAGTACTGAAGATTGCATAGGTACTTATATACTACTTTGGAAAGCATCAGACACTTTCCACGAGATGGCAGCAGAAGTTCAGAAAAGTAGGATCTAGTGTCCACAAAAGGCTGTTTTGGATTACATTTTAATTCTTAAAGACAGTGGGATTTAAAAATCTTAAAATTAGTCCTGAAAATATACTTATACATCACGTTTCCAGTGCACAAAGCTAATTTTAAAGCAACGACATTAGAATGTCTTTCCCCTGCCCCTGTAGTGTAGCTAATATTTCAACCAGGTCTAATTTGCCTCTGTACTGGTTTAGCAAAATCACTTTGTGAACTAAGCTCCCATGAGGTGTATCATGTGGGCTTGAGAGTCACAGGGAATAATTTATTTTATTTACCTTTCCTAAACGAGTTATGGGATACAGTAAGTAGTTTTATGTGGCATTTCATCAGAAGGGGAATTTTAAACTCAATTAAAAAATTAGAACTCTTATCTTTATAATTCATATATTTCTCTCATTGCACCCAAAGCCTTGTTCTATTTCTTAGGCAAATTTCGTGTATTTTTAGATCTTTTTGGAAGTTCAATTTCTAGTTAATACTTTTAGGTGGAAAATAGCAAAGCAGAGGATTATTCACATTTTTGCAATTTAGATATTTTTTTTCCAAAAATTACACTTGTTTCTAACTTAGAAATATCAGATACTTTTTGGTTGTAGTAGGACATAAGTTTCTTCTTTCAATGATAAGCATTTACCATGTCAAAAAATGTAGATTTGCATTCAGGAAGTCTGGAACCTTTTTAATTAAGCGACTTTACTTGTCTGTGCCTCTGTTTCTGAAGTTTTAAATTGGATATGGTGATCTAATTACCCACTTCATGTGATGCGGTATTTTTTGCTTGTCTGGAATTGCTTTATGATTAGCAACTTTCAGTACAGGGATGTTTGTGTGCAACTCTATTCATAAGTCTGTAGAGCTGGGAAAGGGGAAGCGGGGACACACGGCAGCCTGAAGGAGATTTCAGAATCCTTTTCGTTGTCTACAGTAAAGTGCAGGTGAAATTCAGAGTGGGAGGAGAGCTATGGCTTTGGAAAAATAGTAATTTTTTTTTAAGTTTTATTTTTATTGTAAAGAATAAAGCAAAAGCTTGTTCTTCTTGTAAGGAATCATGTAAGACAGAGGGGCCGCCTCTTCACTTATCTGTGTTATGTTATTTTTTTAGTCTTGACTTCCTGGCTTTCCTTCAGTAAAAAACATTTTACTTGCATTGTTTTAACCTCATACCAGGCTAAATCTGGGAAGTCAGACATCAAGCAAGCAAAATCACTGCTATGTTGTTTCTCTGTAACAGCTGAGTTATAAAAATGCAATGCTTTCAAGCTTGCTCTGTGGTTTTTGATATGCTGTAAATTATCTATACAAAACAGCACCTTTTTCCATCCAGTGCTTTCATGAGTACATACTAACTTTTTTCACAAAGGTTAGAAGTGTCATTCAAAGTATTTCTGTATTCTAGTGTGAAAAATAGAGCATTACTCTCTTTTTTCACAAAACTAATTGTATGAATTGTGTTAAATACGTAGAGTAACCTTTTAATAGACACGATATAATCTTTGAGATAAAGCTATTATTTTATCAACGGGAAAACAGTCTTATTCTGGACAGTAAAATTCTTTGTTAGCCATTAATTTTCTTTTAATTCTTCTGGCAGGAAAAACGTGGCCTCCGAGAACTAAGAGTACTTGAAAATCTAAAGAACACAATCTTTGAAACAAACGAACATGTTCTTCCTAAGTGTGAGCAGGCAATGCACAACAATTTGAGTGAAACAATCAAGAGATGTAAGCACACTGCTTCTTATTTCCCTTCTTGCATCATTTTGAGAAATAATTTAAATAGTTTGGATTCAAAACATGATTTGTGGAAAAAGTACCATCCTTGGATAAGCTTTCTATCATTTCTGTGCTTTGTTCTCATTCCCTTTGTTTGTCAAACTCTTTGTTTTCCCAGACTTAGTCACACAAGAGAAGAGGCTGGCTCCAGCATAAAGATGTTTTCCATGTAGATTGTTGATACTAAATCACTTTTTACATTTGAAGGGGAAAAAATAAGGAAAAAAAAAATACAACTAGAACTTAGAGTTTGGTCACCTGTTTCTACTTACTGACTTGAGAGTTTTTTTTGATGTCTTCTGAGGTGCTGAGTGGTGCACTCTAGCTCGTCAACAGCACTAAGGAGTGTGGGCACAAGGACCTTTTTCTTTTTGGCATCTAGAACATTGTGATGTGCCTACATACAGTTACCAGTGTGAAGCATTTTCTGCAAGTACTGACAGATCTTTTATGTGCAGAGTTAAGTGATACAGTGGAATATAATCTTTGACTTGCAAAAGCCTCATGTCTTTTAAATCCCTTTCAGGCGAGTTTCTTTGATTTAAAACCGCGGACTGATCTACTGCTATTTGTTATTTCAGTGCAAGCTGCCAACAACATGATCCATAGACTCCAAGAGAGGGAGCATGAACAGAGAAAGGTAAAGGATGGGTGGATAGATTTTTATAATATGATCTAAGTAAGAGTCTTGCGCTTATACAGCAAGTTTATCTGCCTTTGGTACAGGAAAACTGAAAAGCATATTTTTCTATACTTTACATACTTCTAGTAAAACTTCTTTTGGGGTGATTTCTGTACTTATAAAAAAACATACTCATGCAGCATATATGTTCATGACTGCAAAGTTAATGGATCACTAGCTCTTCCTACAATCTCCTGATGTGTGGAAACTGTTTGGGTTTTTTTATTTCGTTTGTTTTATTTTCCCTTCTAGCTCTATAGAGGTAATATATATAGACTATAATTTCACATAGAGGGAAAGTTTAAATATAAAAAAAATTATTTTCTGTGGAACAAAAAACACCTACTAACCTACCAAAATGGAAATGTAAATCTTTCCTAGTTAGCTGAGAACTTTGACTGTATTATATATATTGCTTGTTGAAAAGGAAGTGTGTTTTTCGCTTGTGGATGGGTTATTTAATGAAGGGCTATATTATAGGAACATGCGAATCATTGGAATCTTTTCAGTTGGCTACAGTCTGCTCATTTGAAATACATGTGCTCTCAATCTAAAATTTGGAAAATTATACAACAAATTAGTTTTGTGTTTTCCCATAACTCCTTCATGATTGTGTTCTTGTGTTATCTTTTTTTACTTGCAAAATATTATTTATAATCACTTAGTTCAGAAAAACTGCAGACGTTGCTGTGGCCATCACGCAAAACAGGCTGTGCGTTGATTTATGTAAGCTGATAGTTGTGTTTTTCTTTCCTTTTTTTAATCGATGAAGATGGGCAGGCCAGTTGCAGTTGAATGCTGGCACTGTGTGAATAGCACGCTGCTCAACCCTGACAAAGTTTGCTTGTGTCTAAGACTGGAGCAGATATTGGTAGAGAAGCTAAGTAGGAAATTCTTACAGTTCTGCTACTGTTTGTTTGAAGTAAAAATTCAATAAAAAAATGTATAACTTGCAAAACGAACACTCAATCAGAATAGTAACTATTCTTTTTTAAAATATTAGCTGTGTGTTTCCAGTCAACTTTTTTCTATGTGCAGTGGAGCAATGCTAATAGCTATTCAGGGTTTGTAGTGTTTCTTTAAGCTTGTATAGTAAGATTTTTTTGGCTTGAAACTTTCCAAATGTGAGCAGTAACAGGAAACTTTTAAAAATTATAGATAAAAGTTGTCACTGAAGTGCAGCCACTTGAGGAGAAATACTTTTTCCTTACTTTTCTTTCTGAAGTCATGCGTTCTGAAAACAGAATGGATTTTTGGTAAAATCTAGTGTCAAGTGGTTAGTTTTAGCAGTCCTTGGTGAAATTAATTCAATTTCCACTGAATAGAATGAATTTGAAGATTATTTGCTTTACTAATTATCTGTTTTTGCAGTTCCTTGCAGCTACTGGTATCAGCCAAGTAACAAAAGGGAAATGGCATCATCCCTACCACATTTTCACTTAAGATGTAATGTAATTTGTGATTACAGGAGTGTCACTGAAAAAAGCATTCGTAAAATCCCCTGTCTCATTGAGTAGTCTTCCCATTAAGAATAGTAATGTTTAGCTCGTAGTTCAACCTGTCGATTACTTTAAGCTTGTGGGAGCAACAAGAGAAGACTTGAAGAAATTTTGCAAACAGGTTTTTGTGTACTACAGTCTTCTTTTTTTTTCTTTAATTTAAATATTTTTATGTGGAATTGTGCAGGCTTATACTGGAAGCTACCCAGCACTTCCCATTATGGCCTTGCAACTTAATAACTTGTAACGTGAACTAATATTGTAACATTTCTCAAAGCCCGTGTCTGCCTCAAATGGTGGGAATTTTGGGGTTTTGGTGGGTTTTGCTTGTTGTTGAGTAATCCTGAAAACAAGTTTACTGAAAAATTTGATGTTAAAAAATTGAATGTTTGCTATAACTAATGACAGTAAAACAAGAATAGAAATAAATACAACCAGCTCTTGTGAGTCAGTACTGAATACAAGACAGCTTCCCTATCTTTCAAGTTCAAGCAGCATGCACTTGTGAGTGAGAAAATGGTTTCATAATCAGATTAGATTTTTTCCAAATAACTAATGTCTGAACTTAGGTGTTGATATAAAAGGAATATGAAAGACATCACTGCCAAAATATGTAAATTTGCTAACACACCAAAGGGAATTCCCAGAGCAGGAGTTAATAAGGCAGCAACTATGCTTGTGATTTAGGCAAGCTTTGGTTTATAGCTAAACCATATTATGAAACTTTAACTCAAAACTATTCTCAACTTTTTATATGAACATGAAAGCTGAAAATCTTCTAAACTTATTGATGTCTAAATACCTTATTAAAAAAATATAAGAAGTCAGCATTGTTAAAAATATAAACAGATTCTAAGTTTAGTTTGAGTTTCCAAAACTTGTATTTATAAAGTTATACTGAAAGGCAGAAATTGAGAAGTATTTGGGTTACATCTGAAAAGTGAACTTAAACTACTTGTTCTGTGGAACTTCTGGCATAAGAACCGAAATACTGTTTGGAGAAGAGAAATCACTGAAAGAATGGATGACCAGCAATCAAAGACAGGACAAAGCTGTGTCTGTGTGGTCTGGAGCTGGAAACTTTATAGGAGGATAGAGCTGGAGTTCTAAGAGTGTTTGGGTGTGAGGAGACAATTCTCTGATTAAGCAAACAAATAAATCTATCCAAATTTTGCTGAATTAACAGCCATGGAGAACTACCATTTGTACTACCTTGTAGATCTTTTCAGATGGGGTAAAAATATTTTTTTTCTATGCAGTAGGTGATAGTAAGTGCCAGTTTTCTGAACTCGGTCTGTCAGTTACACATTGTTCTCTAGTAGACAGCGAAAGGCTAAAGCATAGTGTACTGTTGCTGACAATGAAAAGGTCTTTTGGTTCAAATGGAAATCTACAACATGGAAAGAAATGTTGTGATTGTCTATTGCTTAAAACATTAGGATTTATAGCTAATAATTGAGATTCCTTTTTTGTTTTTTTTTTTTTTGTTAATGGCTGAATATTGTACTAATACCATACAACATCATGAATTACCTAAGACTTGCTCTTGGCTTAGGTACCTGTGTCTGCATGCTTTAGTTCATACAGCAATTTTCCCATGTTACAAAGGTCATGAGGTTTTACTTCAGAACAAAACGTGATGTTCTGAAGGCTGAATGTGGTGCCATAATATTGGCTTCTGTCTTGTTGTCAGGCATTGGTATATTTGTACAATCAAGTACCAAACCAGTTTTTTAGATATTTCTTGACTGGATGAGAACAGTGGAACTTTATATGTGTTCTGAAGTGGCTAAGTTGGGCTTATTAGCTGTTGTTTTCTAATTTATTATTGTCTCACTTAAGAGGATTGTGTTCTTTCTATTTGTTTTTTTGACTTATGGGTTTAGACTATAGTTATTTTACAGATTCTTGTTTGTTTGTTTTAGCAGTCATTTGAAATGATAAAAACTAGGAATTAAAATTAGGTTATACTCTGAAAGTATACTGGTTCCTTGAAAGAAACCAGTTCTATGAAAGGATATTAGTTTTCATGTTTGTTTGTGCTGTTCTTTGTGATACTTTGTTAGTTTACACATAACAGTTCTTCCAGTTGGCAGCCCTAGAAACCAGAATGAAACCTAAAAATCAGGGTGTCTCCTCCTGGGTTTTGAATCATTACCAGCAATCCAAAATTTTTAATTAAAAGTTTTCAGCAATATGTGAGTTCTGTAAATCTTTTTCATTGTAAATGTTTTGCTGACAGTGCATGGACCAGAATTTATTTCAGTTTATGTAGAATGTTAGCTTTTTGTTTCAATTTTCAGTTCACATTTAGCGAGAGAAGGTATGCATTTCAAAGATTGCTCCTCTTAAATGATGTTCATCTACTCTTTTCTACTCAGCATGAGTTTAAATTGCAATGAATTAATGCTTCATAACTAGGGATCCTCACACTTAACATGGCAGCACTGATTTGTATTAATATTTAAGTCAACTGAGGTTATTTCTTTGGTTTAAGTAGTCAAACTTTGAGGAGTGAGAAGTGTAATACAACATTTGAAAGCTTCCCAAATAATAACTTAATAGAAAATAACTTGAATTTATGTTATCTTAAAACGAAAATTTTATTTTCCTCACCTTTACAAAATCACCCTGGAAATTAGTTTGCTAGGCTCACTATCAAATTCTACATGTATTGGTTTCTGGAAAACAAACTTTTTGCAAATCTATAAATACGGAAATTACGAATTAATAGTATAAAATACTCCATACTGTCTCTACAGATCACTAATTTATGTAACTATGTTGACTTTTGGAAACTGTTTGCTTTTTGAGAGTGGCTTTTGACATAACCAATACAAATCCATGCCAAGATGTCTTACTATCCTGAAAAACTTTGCATTTTAAAGATTTTTCATAACTATCAACAACATATTTAACAAGAGAGATTGTCATCTGCCTGTATGGACCTTTAAGCTTTCTAGCTGTGCTAGAGCTGCAGTTACAATTAGGGCACGGTATCTCTTGCATAGTGGCTTGATTTAATTTGTTTTAATTCCTGTGTGTTATGCTCAATTTAATAAAGCAGTGAAGTTAATAGCAGTGGATACGAAGATGATATGGTAGGAGTGAGGAGCATTGTGGTAAGAAAGCACAATACAGGGCAAACCTCAAGGGTACTTGCAGAGCTACAGTGTGAAAGTCATCCTTCTGTGCTGAGAAATGGAACCTTTTGATGGCTGGAGCTGGGTGTTGATTTCCTGTGTGGGAGCCTGGGTCCTGAAGAGGCTGATAGTGATGTTCTGTTAAGAGAAAGGCAGTGTTACAAGACACTGGAGAAGGCTTGGGTGAGAGAAGCCAACTAGCACCTTAGCTCCAGAGATGGTGTCTGTTGCAGTTGGGTGTAGGAGGAACCTGTCAGGATTTCTGTGATGCCTAAAGAGACTGAAGTGTCCATTGAAGTTTATCCTACAGCTACAGCATTCATAGATCTCTCCTGCATGGTTTCTTTGACTTCTAATAAGAAGCAAGTTTGCACTGCAGCATGTGCCTTGGTTGAAAGATCTCTACCTGAAGGCATCCATCCATTAAGAATCACACTTTGTTATTTTTGCTGTTCACACAGCTATTGGTCTGGTAAGGAATATTGGTTTCAAGATTATGACTGTCTCACACACACAAACGTATCCACTCAGCAGTTGTCAGTGTTAATGATCTGGAGGTACTGCTGAGAACACTTAGATTTGAATTTGTTTTCTAGGGAGGAGAGCTGCAGTGCCCAGGGTGTGCACTGAGCTTCTACAGGGCAGGTTTCCAAATTGCTACCAGGGTGGGAGAGTAAAAACAGTATTCAATCCTTGGTGTCGTTTAGTTGGTAGTTCTTGTCATTCTTATCTGTTTACTCTAGCATGTCTTAATTTTATATTTTTTTTCCCAGTTTTTAAAGTGTTTGTTCATATCTGCAACTTTTTACTGTTAAAGTTGTAAATTGCAATTATATGGAGTTACTTAATTTCCAACATAAATCTTAGTCTATAAAAGTACTATTTCAGTAGAATGCTGCTTGCATTTATAAATGTAAAGAATAAGTACTTACAGCAATTGCTTCTCAGTACTCAGCTGTTTAAATTTTTATTTAGACATAGATTAAGCAATGTACATAGCCTGGCTGCTAATATCCCTTTATTTCACAATGTCACTTCTCCTGTGCCAAAGCAAGCTAAAGGCTTGAGCAGGGGAAGGCAAGAGGGTTTTGGGGAGAAGAAAGGAGTTGGACCACAGATTTTTTTGATAAACCTTAGCTATCTCATATTCTAGAAATGTCTTCAGTTGATTAACCACGTAAGGGTAGAAGCAAGTAGCACCATGAGTTTTATGTTCCTTGCAAACTGTTTGTCTTGTGAGGAGCGTTGATTAGTGGAGCTGAAGTGTGGTGTGATAGGTGCTGTCAAAAAGTATGTGATGCACCAACAGTTTCAAAACCTGCTGGATGTGAAACGGTGTACTAGTTGAACTATTGTTATACACTGGTGTATTTTGATAGTAGCTGATACTGTGTCTGCTGCAAACAAAAGGGATCTTGGTATAATGTCACATTGCATAAAAATGCTGCATGGCAAAAATAGTGACTTAACCCACGATGTATGATCTTGAAGAACAAGGCAAAGGGAGTGTTGAAGAATACACTAATGGGTTCCCATTGCCTTTAGTTGACAAAAATGCCAAATGTCTATTAAAGCTGTATGAGAGTAGTGATTCCTACACAGAAGTACTGTACATAGAAAATAGTCTTTACTGATACATTACAAGGAGAAAAAAAAACATTACGTAGATCTCATTCACGCTCTGTTTTAATCTGGAAATGATTGTTAAAAACTTCTCCTTTTCCTTCTCCCAGCTTCAGGCGGACAGGCTGATGGCTCGTGAAGAGAAGCGCGTAGCCCACTGGGAGGAATTGATGAAAGAACAACAAAACAAACAGGCAGAGGTGGATGAAGAGCACAGAAAAGCTGTGGAGCGCCTCAAAGAGCAGTATTCTGAAATGGAGAAGGAACTGGCCAAATACGTTTCTTTTTAAGGCCTTTCTTTTTTAATAATGTTGGGTTTGTGCCAACACTCTGTTGCTTCTGACTTAAATAGAGGTTCTTTTGGAAAGCTGAAATGAAAAAGAAGAAAGGGGAATTTCCCCTACAGGTTTAGTATGGGAAGAAAAGGTTTGCATACTTTCAACTTAAGTGCCTATCTATGCTTGTTTTGTTCAGGGCGAGTGGAATGCCAGTATTTCTTCCTTTGTTGGAAGGTGGAACTGGAAATTACGTTGTGTGACTACATCAGCTCAGGGAATTGCAAACTGGAATTCTCTCCCATCTGCAGAGAGTATCGTATCATTTGGGAAAACAGACTGATGTAACATGAACTGTCCCAGTGTGCAGCCACAGCCCTTTCCCAAAAAGTAGATGTAATCGGTTCCAGCCATAGTTAGCTGAGAATTCACTGGGAAAACCATAACTCCCATTCATAGATTTCAGGAAAACCAACTTGTTTTATAGAATACTTTGAAGCTTCAGCAATGAAAGATCTCAGCAGAGTTTCAAATCCAGTTGTAATTCCAACTTTGGGGTTCTATGTTCAGTATTATGAAGTAGGGTTGAGATTCAAATGGGTTTTGCTAACGGAAAAAAGGCGAAGTGGGCTTAGACAATTTCTTTTCTCTCCCTGTAAATGCCTCAGACCTCTCTTTTTAAGCTATGGTCTTCAAAGCAGAGCCAAAACAAGCTCAAAAGTGATCATGAGAAGCATATATCAGTCTTTGTATTAGCTTTATAGCTAGTACAGTATTTACCTTAAATATTTAACATGCTTTGGTTTACTTAGGATAAGCTTGTCGGGACATTATAGAGCAAATGAGGAAAGATTTTTTGTTTCTTTATCAGCTAAACAAATGAGCAGATTAGTGGTAACAGGCCTGTAGTTCTGATCTGCTTTTTTACTGTTACTCTTACAGGGTATGCGAAGCTTTCTTTTATATAAAACTTGCAGTTAACAGCAGTATAACTGAAGAAGTTAACTTAATCAGTTCATTAACCAAGCAAAATGAGACATAGTACCTTAATGAAATTTGCTGCAAGCTAACCGTTAGTACAGGAAATATCTTTCCATAATTCAGCTGGTGTCCAATATAGAATGGAAACAGGTAAAAATAAACAGAATTTACCCTTTACCTGTATTGCAGCAGCAATATGCCAACAATGGTTGCTTGTGTAAGTCTATGGCTTGGTGTCAAGGCTCCGTTCCTGGCAGCATGTTGATAGTGTGATTAAAGTTAGTAGAGGAGATGGAATAAGTATTTGAGATTTCTTTCAATAACACTGAATTCCTGCCAAGCTGCTCTGCCCGCTACTGTAGGCCCAGCAGCTTCATCAATCATCATCCTGTATCTGGACTGAAAAGAGGACTTGCCGACACTGGGGCACACTGGAATGTTGTTCATTCTCTGTTGTGGATGGAAAAAACGTAGATGTCTCAAAAGTATCCCACACATGAAAAATAGGAAAGCCTCTTTTAGAACAACCCCTGTTTGAATAGAAGGTGACCTCTGTAATATTTTTCAGCCTCTGTACCCGTGATGAATGTTGTAACTGAGCTCAGACTTCCATTTTAAAAAGAAAAAGTTAGTTCTTGCCTGTCTTTAGAATTGGGTGTGGAATAGTTTGGATTGTTTTGAGCACAGACTGAAAATGGCTTCTCTCTTACCAGATTATTTGATGTATATGTGCTCAAAGCCCAAATATCTTTATAGCAAAATGCATTTAACTGCATACTGAATTCATTTTTATTTTTGCACTGATAATTTTTATTAAGATTTAGATACCTAATTAACTGTGCACTGGAGCTGTAGATTTTAGTATTTCATCAATTTGAGGGCTCTTCAGCAATGATACAAGTGTTGCAAGTTGGATATTCACTGGAAAATAAAGTAGTATTTCTAAAATCTTCTGGGATGTGTGTTTCTGAGTCTTTGAAAAGCTTCTAAATACTAACACCGTAAACATGTTTCTCTTTTAGGATGGAATTTTTATGCTGAAGATCATTTGAAAACACTTTTCTTCATAGTCTACATCTGTCTGCTGACCCACTCTTACTCATTGTGGGGACTACCTGAAAACTATCCGTTGATGAATTATTTTATTTGGTAACTTTCATAGTTTTTTTTATATGATATGCTCTAAGTTTTAACTGTCTTTGAAGCAGCTTGCCAACATTTACAGGAAAACCTATTTTTTTATCTCCAAATGCTTAAAAAGCACACACAACTACCACCCCCAACCTGATGTGTCTAATATTCTCATTGGTGCATGAAGGAAGTGTTTCACCTTATACTTGCTCTAGTTACATGACTGAATTTCGTAGTTTTAAAAATCTTGAGAATTTATTTAATCCCATGTAACTTTTTCTTGAACTATTAGTGCTGTTTATTATACTGAACTGTTTCTTCTTTGAAACTAGAAGTGGGATTGGATGTGATGTAATCGCTTGAATATTTTCTTAGTCTTTATACTCTAATGAATACATAGCAAGAAACCGGTATCTTCATTGGAACTGCTCTATGAAATTTGCTGCTGCTGTATATAGGAGTAATAACAAACTTAAGAACTGAAGAAATACTCAAGGGTTTGTTTTGTTTTCAACTGCCTTGTTTTAAAAATGAACCTATACACTGTTCTCCTTGCAATGCCTTATATTTAAGGCCTATCACATTTTTTTAGTCTTGGGAAGGAGTGAGAGAACTGATTTATTTGCTCTTACTCTGCTTCTTTCCATGCTAACACTGGGTGACACTTTTTTATAGAAAAATTCCTTAATTACATATGGAACATTGCATCTCCTCTGATATTTTAATTTATGGCTTATTAGATCTTTCCTCAAAAACTGGGGAGTTTTTTGCAGTAGTCAAATCAAATAGTCAATACACAGCATAATCAGCCAACGAATCGAATCATGCATCGTTACTCCCGAGTTGAAATGCTTCCTATGTCTCTATGCTATGGATTTTGAGATTTACAAATATTCCCCAGTAGGTGTCAGTGCAAGCCTGAAGGGAAAGTTAGAAAGTCTGTTTTTATATGAGCTATAGACTGTAAATACTTGTGTTCAGTTGTAATACAGTATTTGGTATAAGTACAACACATTTTCTGGATAAAACTACATGCTTTTGAATAAAAAATTACTTATCAGCATCATTTTGCCCCATTAGTCCTCCAAAAAGCTTACAACAGATTGCTCTTAAAATTATTTATGTAAGGTGTGATTATCTGAACACTATTGTCCATAATACTTATGGGCTCTAATTAAGATCTCTTATGACTTGAAGTTAGACTCAGTATCAGAGATTTAAAACCTTCTAGAGCTGCATTCTTACACAGCTGTCCAGGTTAGTGGTCCCAGTTTTCTGAAGATTTGAGGCAAAAGTTTATGCTTATTGATAGAGAACATGCCGTACTTAAAAAAAAAAAAGACTTCTGCAAAAAATTTTGTGAACAAAATTATCATACCACATACTTTTAAACAGGTCAATTATTTTAATTGTTTGTAATTAAATTATCTTCTCAAAATAGTGAAAACATAGTACACCCAGTGCTGTTGGTCTTATTGTCTGTGTGTCAAGATAGAGCAGAATCTGGAGAAAGATGGAAGCGTAGCCACTGTAGTTAGATTTTATTGAGTAACACAACTTTCCTAAGGAGTTCAATCATAAGATTCTTCAGAAATTCAAAATAACATAGAATTTTAAAAGAGAAGGGAGAAGTAAGGAAGGATTAAATCTCTTCTAGTGCAATTAAGAAGGGGAGTTTTAGAAAAGATTTATTTTAATCCTTAGAGTTTCAGTACTCTCTCTCTCTAGATATATATATACCTTACAGTTCTGAAGAGTGTACAGTATTACGTGCAATACTTTTGCAGCTTTATAGGTGGTAGTTTTATATATAGTAATGAGCAAAGTAGAACAAATTTATTCAAGGCGGTGGTGAGCATTAGAAAGAAGAGAGGCTTGCAAAAGTCCCATTAGGGTTTAAAGCTGTAGCTTTGAAAATCTGGGGCTCAATCTAGGAATCCAGTAGAGATGGACAACCACTTAGTTTTTAGACTGTGTTCTTAAATACTTTGTCTGGGTCAAATAAGAACCCAGGTAGTTCAGATTTTCATATCATTTTATACATGATGAAGAAAAAGCCGATCCTTTCAATATGAACTTTCAAGACAATGGTACTAAAGGATGGATAATGCGGTGTTTTAAACCAAAATTAGAGTAATTCAAAATAAAACTTGGCATTTCCTCAGTCTTCTCCACTGGTGACTCGCTGGGTGGATAGAGGAGACCTGCAACTGAGTATCATTGGTTTTTTACCAGGCATCGCATTTAACTTGATGAGAATTGAAGCACTCTTTATGGCTTTTGCTTGTTACTATTAATGTTTTGAGATGGACATAATCCATAAATTTATCCAGCGTTCATGGTGTATGATCCCTATATCCTGTAATCTGGAGAAAAACTACCTTTTTTCTTGTGTTCTTGCCACAGCAAACACCGTAGGACCTGGATAAGCATTTTTAGTTGTCTTTGAGTTAATTGTAAAATGTGTTTGCAAGCTTGCTTTGCAGAGCTGGTGGGGTGGTACCTAGCCACTGCTCTCCCCAGCTAGGGCATGCAAAAAAGTGCCTCTTGCAGGAACGTGTTCTAGAATATGCACAGCACTTTGCAGTAGCTGGAGCTTCAGGAAAGTTAGTTCCGGCTTGCTTGAGGTCATAGGAAGTCCTTTATGAGTGGACCCAAGTTTGTCCTTTCCAGATGTTTTTAGCACTCATTAAATAAAATCCGGTTCCTGAAAATCCCCTCTCCAGATGGCTCTAAATCTGTTCCAATATTTACTGTCACCTAGAAAGCTTCTAAGCTCAATTACATAAATAGGAAATACTGTGCATCCCTCCAATGTATTGATTTGCAAGAAAAATGAGCGTGACTTAGAAAATTTAATATTTACTAGACAATGTTGCAAATTTTAAAGTAGAATTATAGTAGTGCACCTGGTTAGCAGGTTGTTTTCAACCAACTAACTGGCATTTGGGGTCCTAAGGAGGAAACATCCTTTACAAAATTCTTCAGAGTAAGCAGCTAGCAATACATCACAGCAGTGGAAAAACTTTCTGGAATCAAGAAACACTCAGAGGCAGTAGGACTTTTATATTTGTCTCCTGAGCAAGTTTAGAGGCGCTCATTCTATCAGGCAAATGTGGTGAATTCGTTGGCTGGAACACCCTGAATGCAGAATGCAAACTCTGCACAGACACCCAGCCTGGGACTCTACCTTCCTTTCATTTTGTATAAGGCTTTTTGCATATCCAGGAGAAGAGAGCACAAACACAGGCTGCCATTTCTGGTTGTAAAAAAAAAACAAAAAACAAAAAAAAAAACCCCACCCAAAATTATATAGAGAAATGTGGAGTGACCAGGATGTATTGTGTTTTGAAATTTTCTTGCACCTGTGACTTGCAGGTGGTACAAGAGACGCAATTTCCTCTAAAACATCCATGAACAGATAGAATTTTATGTAATAAGGCTAATTATTGGCTTTTTGTTTCTTAGCCAGATGTTGAAGTAGGGAGAAAAGGGATGCACTACATCAGGTTGCTGTAGGTTGGTGGTTGGTATTTGTCACTGAGGTGGCAGTCACCGTCATCACAGGATCACAAAATTCAAAATGTTTATTTCTTTTGTTTGATTTGAAGGAACGCAAGTCCTAGAGAAGTGTGTTGTGGTCAAACTGGAGCATGGAAAGCAATAGCAGAATTTCTGATGCTGCTCTTCTGTCTTCTGCAGCCTCTTCTGAAGAAGAAACAGGAGTTCCCTCTTTACACCTTTTTCAGGCACAATTTCACTTTTATTATAAATTAAATTGGAATTAAAAAACTGAGTTGAATTTTTGCCATTATCTTTAGCCAAAATAGAGCACAAGACTCAGTCTGAGCCTCTCTTGTTATGAATTTCAGTGCTGATTATATTTTGCCTGTCGACACGGGACTGGACTAAGAGCACATACCTCTGCAAGGAGGTTATCCAGCAGCTCTTGCATTAGTGCTACTGTAGGTCATTGCCTCAGTATGCTCCCTTTGGAACAGCTGCCATAAAGAGAAACTTTAGCTGAAAACTATTTCCAAATAATTTTCACACGGTAAGAAATTATTCTTCATATATGATGTGATTTCCACGTGCACCTTCCCTGCGCTTTCAAGTTCCCAGGCTAGTTTGTCCCACAGAATCCAATAAAAAAATGTAATTTCTCCCTAGGGTCTTTTCTGGTCATGTTTGATATCACTTAACATAATGAGCTTGTTACTCCCACATCATAAAGGGTTTTGTTTTAGGTTTCTTTTTTTTTTTTTTTTTCCTTCTTCAACAAAAAGTGTTGCTTACATCCCTTCTAAAGAATGCTCTTAGTTATGTGAAATGTGGACACGTTGTCTGGGCCAACCTCTTATCTGCGCCAGATTCAAAAAGTCTGGTTCGGGATGGTGGCTTAGACTGCATGTTTTTGTTGTGTTTTGTTTCTTTTAAAAATATATATGTATGTGTCTTGCTAAAAAACATTGCTGCCCCCGTCTAGGAACAATGCAACACTCACATCATTTCCTGAAAGAATAGAGTTGGAAGGCAATTATCTACTCACCAAACAGGCTAAAACAACAGTTCCTGATATTCTTCTCAAATATTTCAACTTCCCAGGAATCCGGAAAAAATAATTCCATGAGACGGTGTTATGAATGAAGGTATGACATTTCAGTTTCCTTCACTTGGAATCAGACATCCAGAGGTAATAAATTACCGCGCTCTTGGCACTGCTGGGAGGGGGGGTCTGGCTGTGGCAAATTGTTTTTCTTCAGAGCAGGAACAATGAAGTGCTTTTACATCCTCCGTGGTCCGGTGACAGGCATGGCTTCTTTCTTAATGGGCTTTCAGCAGCAATTGCATGAATTACACGTAGAAAAAGCAGGAACCCGACAGCAAAGTACCTTGAAGCTAATATCTTTAGAGATAGGAAGGCATAATAATGAAGATTATTTTTTTTTCCATTTTGCCTCTGTGAAATAAAGCCGGTAGCATGGTCTGAGAACTGCACTGTAACAGGAAAAGAAATGGGAAAAAAAAGAGTAGTAAAAAAGTATCTTTACCACTTTCTTTTGCATCTCAAGGAAAGTGGTTATTACCAGCCTTATCCAGGTACCGTTTCTGTCATTCAGTAATGTCTAGCTACATCTGCCCCTTGTATTCATTTTATGCATTCATTTTTTGTTTGTATTTACTCTTTTTTGTGATATACCACTGCAGAGGATTCAGATACTGCTTTTGCAGGTTCTCTGCAAAGTATAATTTTCAGCTTACTCATTAATTCACGTTTGAAAACTTCTTAGGTGGGATTGTAAATTTGGATCTTATGATAAACTTTATATTGGCATATAGAAAAGTGGAAATGCTGCTCCTGGGAAAAGAGTCAATGCTCTTGATCTTTGAAGAGCTCACTTTTGGTGTTTAATAAGCAGATGGGAAATGCTTCTGAAGAAGTGTGTCTTTGGATCCCAAGTGAGGCATTTTAGGAAGGTAGCACAGGGAATGTTGCACTATAAATTTGTAAATTCATAGCAAGAAAACAGCAAATCAATTAACATCAACATGAAATACTATTAAACCAGAAGCTCCTAGTGACACTTGCTCTCATTCCTGCTTCTGGTTGAATTTTGAAGAAAGTGGTTGTAAATGGTAAATGCATAAATTGTAATTAGTTGATTTAAAAGAGTGACGGTTCTGATCTAAGAAGATCTGCATTTCATGTCGCTTTTCTGAGACATTATTTCTTTTGTTACTTCCTTGAGAGAATGTGACTGACTAGTCCTACCAGCTTCTGGGGGTCCTAGATAAACACTAGCCACACGCCAGCAGAGATTGCCGGCTCTAGGAATCTAGGAATCTTTAGCAAAATTCCCTTCAACTTCACTGCAGCTAGAATTTACCTAAAGTTTTTGGAATCGGGCATGTGTCTTCAAGGATAAAAGCAAGCAGACCTTTTTTTTTTTAATAGCGACACTGAACTATGGTAAAGAAATGTGATTGATTCTCATACCACCTACTTTTCATTCCCATACTATTTAGCTATTTCTTTTCAAATTGAATCTATTGTTTCAGGTTTGTAATTCATCTACTTATTTCTGTTTTATGAAATTATGAAAAGTGTGATGCTCTTTGCTGTGTCGGGCATTAATTTGTTCGTCGCATCTCAATACTAGCTTTTTCTAAGCGTTTAAAATTGCTAGGCATCTCATCAATAATGATGTCAATCACCTTTAGCATATTACATGGTTCATAATGTGCTTTGTGAACATCAGACTGTGTTAGTACTACCTATAAAGTGTGGGTAGTAAGACAACTGGAACGTCACAATAGGCTTACTGGTTTTGTGGTAGTACAGCGACTTCCATATAAACCAAAAAATACTGAAGTGTAAATTTTGTTTACCATTTAAAAGATCTTTCTTTTCCTACCTGCCAGCCCCAGATGCATGAACAGGTATATATATGAATGCAAAATTCTTATTTTCATTATCTTTCTGTGCTCTTGCTTATGGTAAAGAGGTGACCTGCTACTAGTTTTCACTGTTGTTTTGGTGGAGCCCACCAGGCTTCATCCCCCATTCTTGACAAATGTCCTCATAGTTGCAACTGATGATAGGATTCAAACCTGCCATAGGACTTAATGCTCTGCTTTTCACAAGTACTTTCCCTTTGGCTTCATTTTGGCTCATTGCTGACTTGGCAATGTAATCTTAAGGGAGTAAAAGTAGTAAATTATTTATATTGCTATAACGCCTTCAGTGGCCATTAAGCCGGCAACAGGTTTTTAACTGAAAGGTCAGATAATTTACAATGTGGAGCACAATTTCAGTTACTGCCTTTCACAATTACAAGTATGTAGTTTACTTATATAATAGTCCGAGTGTTCATGACCCCATGCAATTAGGCGTGCACAAAGGATTATTAGCTAAAACCTGGTCTGAGAATCAGACCCTCACACCATTACAGAATCATAAAGAAGAAAGAGAAAAAATAGACTCAGAGTCTCAAGTAAGCAAGCTAAGAGTCATTATTATGTCTTGATATTCTAAAATACTGATATTTTGCTAAGCCCTTCGATCAGAAGAAATTTAACTCAGTGGTAACTGGCAAAAGGTTACATCAGAAGACTCGAGTGTCAGTTTGCTTGTAAACAAAGGATATTGTAGGGTATGTGGTCCAGAAACCTTAGGTGTTCTTAATTTTTTTTAAAAAAGACAACATGGAATTTATTATCTGTTATTTTAACATCTGTAGAAAACAGGTTTGTCACCTTTTCTTACACTGCAAATAACTGAGTCATGAAAGCTCAAAATGTATTTTCTATGAAATTGAAAGGGGAAGAAAAGATCTCAAATCATATTTCTTTCCAGCAGGTAACTGTACTGTGCATTCAAGGTTAGTAGGTTTCTTGGGGGTTTTTTTGTTATTTTCCTGAATATCTTTCTGGAGTAGCTATGTTATGTGATAGGTAAAATATCTTGCTCCTCGGATCTGTGTAACTTCTATGTGAGGAAAAGGATAAAACCAAAGCTGTAGGGATAGTGGTACTACATAGACAGATAGACATTTGCAGTTAGGTCCTTTTCCTGTACTTCTTGCTATTAAATCCTATAAAGAGAGGAGTGATGAAAGCTAATACATATTCAGAAAAAAGAATTTCTTTTACCTACCAAATACATATTTGTTTTATTTTTAGATAATCATTTAAATCATTTAGATCTTTATTTAGGTTGAGCCAGGATTCAAAATTATAATTAAAAAAATCGAAATAAAAATTTATGTTCTGGGGGCTGTTGTGTTGTCAACCGGTGGCCGGATGCTAGGGCAGACTTTCCCCAATTAGCAGGTTGCGTGCCCCATCTGGTTGGCCAACTTCACTGTTTATGCGTCCTACACGTTACCGCAGTCGAGACTCAAAACAGTAAACACCTCGGAACACCAAAAGTGCCAGAAGCCACCTTATTTTTGTTGTTATTTTCTGTAATTATACCTGGGAGGATTGGAGAGTTCTAGCACTCTTTTTTTCCCCTCACCTTTTTTTTTTTTCTTTTTTATGGCTTGGTTTTTGCGTTTCACAAGCTCTTGGCAATGGGTACAGCAGCTGCCTTTGCACTCGCAAGAGACGAGATTCTCTAGGACACATATGCTTCCAGCAATGCTCTTTCTCCATGCAGTGTATCAGAGATACAACCCAGAAAGTGGGACATCATGTGTACGGCCTCTGCGTGATGTGGGACTTGCCCTCAAGAGTTGTTTTCCGAGGGGTGCGTTCACTTTGATAATTTCCCTCCTCTCATTTCTGTTCTGTGCTTGGCTTCCTAGTGAACAATGATGTCCTCTGAGCTCTAACATTCCTCTTTTACCCAACTCATCCCTGACCGTGCTTTTCCTCTACAAGCCTAAATCAGGGGTTTCATAGTTCCGATGTTTTTTTCCTTCTTTTTTTTTTCTTTAATATGAAAAGGTGAGTTTGATTTACTTTATGGTAGAAAGTCTGAGACTTTATAATGGAAAACATGGATGCAAGTTGTTTTCATAGAGTTTAAGTAAGGTTAAGCAGAGTTTCCCCAATTTGTACTGGTCCTGGCACTGTCTAATATTTGTTTCAGAGGAAGGGACGGGCAATGGGGCGGTAAAATCAACATAGGACTAAAAAAAAAACTACTCAGTCACATTCGTAAAGGATGAGAAGGAAATGTAGAAGGATCTAACAAAGACCCGGCAACCTGATACGATGACATGGTGTAGACATGTGTATGCAGGGAGAAACATTTATAAATCTAACTCAGAGAGTAAAGAAAAAAACTTTGATAGAGTGAACAGTGCAGAGAAAGTAAATCATATGTCTGTTCACATATCTTTATTATTCAAGAGTAGAGAAAAAAATGGATTAGCTCTATTTGACTTTTACAACTGATAAAATAAATTGTTTTTTTTTACATAAGACACAATAGATTTGCAGTCTGCACTACAGATTGCCATTGACCAACTGCTTTCTAGGTAAATTTTCTGGGAAAATTGCCCACCCTTCATTGAAGGACTCCACTTAGGAAACTTTCTGTTGACATTTTTAGGCAAATTTCATCATAACTTTTCCTAACTCTTGAGCACTATGCTTTACGGAACATTTTCAAGCACAAACAAGAGCATCTTATCAGGCACTTAGCTTTAGCTACGTGTTTTCCAGGGATTTTACTTTTTCAAAAAGATATATTTCACACCATGTGTCTATGTAGTAATTGCTATCCTATTCATAATCACTTAGGGAACTAATGCATTAAAAAAACACACTAAAACAAATATTTATGAGAGGTATGCTGTTATATTATTTTTCATTTTCTTTATGAATCCCTTGTCCTATTGCAGCTTGATGTTTTGCTGGGTAGATATAGGTTCATTTGTATTTCACAAAAAGCTTAATGAGGAAAATGCACACAGTTGGTCGTCTTCGATTTATTTCAAGAGTTAAACTTGTCAGTGAATATTGGGCAGGAAGAATAACAGAGGCAGTGCTGTTTGTTAGAAATACCTTGTGGGTATTTTGTGGCTTTGGATCTTGCACCACTGGAAGGTGGTACAGGGGGTAACTTCATAGTATGATGACTTGGGGGAGAGATGGAGAGCATACTTCTATTGCGAAAACACAAAGAATCCCATTTTTTTTCCTGTAAGGCAAATAGATCTGTGCCATTAGAAATACTTTCTGAGGCCTTGAAATAAATTTACCTTGCAAAGATACTGAAAGACAAGGTGGCTGCTGTCTGTGCCAAACCTGTAATGATTCATTGTTCTTGCTTAATAAGAGTTTACTGTAAATAAGCTTTCTATCCAGCTTTGTTTTATGTGGAACTCAATAGTCCAGAAATGTATGTTTGCCTGCAGCTGGTTTTGCTTCTAACCTTTCCTCTAAAGTGTAATCTACCTAATCTTGCTTTGTTTTAACATCACTGTAGTTGTGTGCTTGTGTAGGGACTGACTGTGGAAGTGTCTCTTGGAGAGAAAGACTGGCTTCTGATCATGAGAGAGGGGGACATGGCTGTGGACATCTCACAGATGAGGAAACTGTGAGACATGCCCACTGCTCCTGCAAGAAAAGTGGTAGTACTGTCCTTATGGGTATAAGGAGCATCAAGCGACCTGGGAAGAGCCAGGCTTTCTTTTTACCACGATAATGGTACTGCTGGGCAAGCACTAAGGCCTAATCCAAATGAAATCTTCCCTGGCCGAAGGGGAGCTATAGACAAGGCTGCTATTGTAAGGAGAAAATACAAAAACCTTCTTTTTTTTTTTTTTTTTTTTTTAAAAAAAAGGAACACATTGCAAACCCCACCAACCCCCCAACCAAAAAGCTGCAAACCACCCTCCTCCAAGTCTCAAGCCCAGCATTCCTGAAGCTGATCACATACTTCTGCTTCAACAATGAATAAAATTTCATGAGAATTTAATACTTTGGTCTTGACCTTCCTGCAGAGCAGCTGGCTTGGGCTCCTTCACAGAGACATGGTAAGCAGTAGGTGATGGAAGGTTTTCCAGTTAACATTGGCACATTCCACAAAGCAAAGAAGGTATAGAAACAGAGAAACAGATATAAATTAATAATTAAAAATAACCCACCTTCACCAGTAACAACAGAGAAAATACTTTCCATGCTATGTAAGTAATATATCAACATTTAAGCTGATTAAAATTTGATAAACTACTAACTTCCCTGTTTTCTGATAGGAAGGCTGGGGCCCGAGATAAAGCAGTGTCATGCTGAGGAGGACAAACACCCTAGCATCCAATAAACTTTTTATGCACTTATTTTGTTAAGACTGATTCCCGTTTCCTTTGTAACTCTTTGTTTATTAATGAGTTGACTCATCCAGAATCCAGCAGCTTGTTTCCACACCAGAGAGATGGATTTGCACCCCCGCCAAGTGGAGTCAGAGGCAGAGATAACAGCCAGCAACAACAATAGTCTTCCCCGGTCCATTTGCCAAGAACAATTGGCAGAAAGGACTTGGGGAGTAACTTATCACCAGCGCAGGGAGAGGCTGGAGCTCTGGAAGCAGAGGGTTGCTGCTTGCCTGCCGCAGATAAACAGCAGGATGCGACCAAGAGCCAAGCTGGAGTTGAAGGCTTTACCTGGCGAAGGAGGAGGCCAGCACCCATCAGTTACCATAACCCTCTGCGGCAACCAGCCAGTTATTTTAAGTTGTCCATGACACCGCAGACTAAAGCAGGAGGCCCTTTCCAAGTGCCAAATCCACACTAACGAAAACCTGAAGATAGTTTGGTCCTGAGGTATGTTTTGTTCATGAATGCGCACACATCCTTGAACTGGTCAAGCTACTCTTCTTGGATGAAAGGCCATATATTTAAACACGAGCGAGATCTCAGATCTTGCATTATGGGTGATGTGAAATCTGCTTATAAGCATTCGTGTTTGATATTTCACCCTGTTTCTCTCACGTCCTGTTCTTCAAAATGGTGAGCACCTCTTCACATCAACTCAGCTGCATTTCATCTTGATGGCTCTTTTGCCTGGGAGAAGAAAATTAGAACACCTGAGGCAAATTTTCTTACAAAACTTATATCAATGTTTGAACTTGTGACTGCACTGTGGTTCTTTCTGGGAGAAGGTCCCCCTGCTAGCTGGTCAAATAAATTCATACTTCACAAACACGGTAACTCTCAGACAGTTACAGCTGTGCAGCTGTTACTTGCATGGCTTTTTAGACAAAGCAGACGTCTTATTAAATAGCATTTTGAATCTAATTAAAACACCCACGAAGGCAGAATTCTGTGTGACACGAAACTCATTATGGTTAATGAAATATGACTCAATATGGTTAATTTAACAAAAGAATACAGCAAATTTGGGGTTTAAGAGTGGGAAGCAGCATGAAATGGTATGTTGTGGATTGTCTGCTACAGCTGGCCTTCATACTGTTAAACCCCCTTCAGATTAAGGAGAAACTGGAGCCTGTTAATTTATTCTGCTTCTTTTTTATACACTTTACTCAAATTTTCTTCATGACCTTACTCGATGTCAGAAACCATCTTTCCAATCTGGCTTGGTAGAGATAATTTTTTGTTATTCTTTCTTCTCTCCCTTCTATACAGCTAGATCATATTGAGATCCTTCCACTTCTTTTTCTGTAGATCTGTCTTTTCCATTACTTCAGCCAAATCTTTTATTTGAGCTTTTATTGTACCATGTGTTGCTCTTCAGCTCTTGCAACGTGCTCTTTCCAAGTGTCAGAGAGATGTGCTTTCCCCCCAGAAACAGGTGTTAAATTCAAACTCTGCTTTTATTTGTTTGATCATGCTACTTCTCACTTCAGATCTCGGAATTGGCTCCTGTGTAGCATCATACCCAATTTAAGACTCTAGTTTCCTTTATGCAAGAACACAAAATTACTGTTGCTTTTTAAACTTTAAATTTCCTGGTATTTTGAATTCTAAAGTTAGGCTTTACTAAGCCATTAACATTATTTTTGTTTTGCAACAGAAAGGAGAGGGGTAAAAAAATCATGGAGACAGCTCGCAATGAAATTTTTCAGAACTGCTATACCAGGAAACGAGGAAGCTACCGATTTCCAAGGTACATCTAAGTTCAGGGTGGCAAAGTAATGATTTTCTGTGAATCAACAATATTATTATAAAATTTGAACATCCAAAATGTACTTACGCTGCAATCTTTGTCCATGAGCCCACCTCAACCTCCCATCTTCTCACTCCCACTTTGCCCCATCACATCTAAAGTTAGGTTGTTAGCACTGGAAGAAGAGACCACACCTTTCCCATATCTTCTTTTTTTTTTTTTTTTTTTTTTAAGAGCTTAGCCCATTTTTGCTTGCTCTATAAATAAATAATAGCCAGTGCAGTGCCAGGGAAGGAGAGGAAAAAGCTACATTACATCACAAGGCAAAATAAGAAATTGACAAACTTAGAAATAAATATTTTTCTTACAAGATGCAACCCCTCTTGGGAGAAATCAATGCATTTGGTGTTCTGTGAGATGAAACTTATCTTTTCAGTATAGTAGGATTCTCCCTGTTTAAAAAGAGTGCCGTGATGTGGAAGGGCATTTGGGACACCTAAATGACCAGGCAGACCAGATCTTCCCTGAGCATTACCTTGCAAGCCGCCAGCTGGCAGTGGCCATAGGGCCATAGGGATGCTCCGTGGGCTACCAAAACCCCAGGCAGGGACCAGGAACTTGGCAGCAGCCCCCACTTTCAGCTACTGATTGTGGCAGTGGCCTTCTCTTGTGCTGGGTGTTTGCCAGCAGGATGAGTGCCCCGGGGGGCTCTGCTGAGCGAGGGTAGGCACGGCTGTGTCAGCACAAAAAGAAAGGGAGGACCAGATGTGAGAAGGAATGGTGGGGCCAGGAGCTGCTCACATCCGCATGACTTTCTACTGATGTCAGTGTGGTAAGCGGTGGCTGAGCTTCTGTTTGTCCTCAGTGTTAGCCCAGAGTCAACATGTCACCAATGTGGCTTGAAAAGCCCATTAGTAGTTATTTCCTTTAAGGTATTGGGGTTTTCAGCCCATAATCTTACTTGGTGTTTCTAAGCATTCAAGCCATGTAAGTGTCACCAAAGACAGGCCTCTGCTTTAACATAAACATTAGTAGTGCTGCAACTAAAATGATCTGAGGGTTGGAGCACCTCTGCTACGAGGACAGGCTGAGGGAGCTGGGGTTATTCAGCCTGGAGAAGAGGCGGCTCCAGGGAGACCTAATAGCAGCCTTCCAGTACCTGAAGGGAGCCTACAGGAAGGCTGGGGAGAACCTGTTTACAAAGGCCTGCAGTGACAGGACGAGGGGCAATGGCTTTAAGTTGGGAAAGAGCAGGTTTAGATTGAATATTAGGAAAAAGTTCTTTACTATGAGGGTGGTGGAACACTGGAACAGATTGTCCAGGGAGGTGGTTGAGGCCCCTTCCCTGGAGATATTCAAGGTGAGGCTTGATGAGGCCCTGGACAACCTCGTCTAGTTGGGGGTGTCCCTGCTGACTGTGGGGAGGCCAGACTAGATGACTTTTGGATGTCCTCTGGCCTGAACCATTCTATGATTCTATGTGTTATCAAACCAATTTGCCTGTTGAGTTTTCACTGTGCCTCTTTCCTTCCCATCTATTATCTCCTTAAGCCTCCTTTTTGTGGTGTCGTATTAACCTTGCCTGAGATCCAGTTCTGCTTTTCATTCTGATTCTAGTTTTTTCACAAGGATTTGAGGAAGCTGAAATACAGTTCTCCATCTATCTGCCACAAAGGTAATATAAGGCTGAATGTTATCTAATTCCTTAAAGCATTGTAGATTTCTTGTCTTATCAGTAACAAAATATAGATAAGGAACATGAACTACATTGGATTTCTAAGAGAAAAGTAGGGGGTGAAGAAGTTAAACACCTTTTATGAGCTCAGAGGGAACGTTGTCATAAATATCTTTCTAAAAAGAGAACCAAATATACAGCCGCTTCAGGTGAAGCGAGACTCTGTCTGCGTTGGAGCGTGCTTGGAGCTCCAAAATGCTTTTGATAGCTTTCTGACCTGGAAAAGACAAGAAACGCTGGTCAGTCCCAAGTAATAGTAGGAAGGAGCCCAAGAGAGAAGTTATGTGTCAGGATGGAGAAGATTTGTTAGTGCAGTGCCAAGACTGTCAGTTGTTTCCACTGCAGTTATGATTACCAGACATATTGGACTGTAATTTATCATTTCTCCGTCTGTACCCTCGGGATACGTTTGGCAGCTGATAGCACTTTTTTATCATCTCACAGATTACTGTGCTGTATTCACACACCCAGCAAGACGGAGTTCTCTCAAAGAGCTTGAGGGACTCTTCCTGCCGCTACTGGCCTTGGCAGCACCCTGGTATTTCAGGTTTTGGGTGGATACACCACCAGAGTGAATCTTCCACTTGGACCCTCAGCTGCTTCTTTTAGGGTTGCTTCTTCGCATACAGCAGTAACATTGGCTCAAAGAGCACTCTAAGCAGCCAGTTCATCTTTCCCCAAGCCCTTTCTCACCACAGATAGCTACCAGATACGCATTTAATCTACGCCAGGTAGTAGCCTTTCTTTTTTTACAGAGTAAAGGACTCTAGAAGTTGGGTAACACTTCCAACTGCCTTCTCACTTCCTTGTTACACAGGCAGACACAGCTGTTTGTGGTTTTTCTCCCCTCCCCGGTGTGTTAATCTGCTAACATTCAGCAAACGCACCTGGTAGGCATTTCTGAGACTGAGGAGTGAGACTGCATAGCTTGCAGAAGAGCACCTGATGTTATTTCAAAATAGCTTTTGAAAGTGGCAAAGGCAAATAACCCTTCATCCAGATACAGGTCGAGACCTCCTCTAATTTAGTCCAATTCTGTAGGTTTTATTATAATCTGTCCCCTAACAGATCCAAACAGATGGGAGACTTAGAGATCTATGAGATCTCTGAAGTTTTCAACAAATACTGCTAATCTGAGCTGTCTGTGGGCAATGCCTTCCTACCTGTAATTAAAAACACCTGTGTGTTTTCTTTCTCGATGCAGAGGACTCTGATCACAGCTTGATTTGGAGGGACAGTTCAGAAGGTGGTGGCTGGAAGCTGCTGAAACATCAGCTTGAATTTGTCTTCATCTCACAGAGTTTCGCCTTTAGTTCAGGGAGGACTCCTGTTCATAAACTGTGAGTTGGATAAGAAAGAAGCTGGCTCAGAGTGTTTAAAAGTGTTTAGTTATTGCTATTGACTGTGTACACAAGAATAATCTGTCTACATTGTTGTAATGTTCAAAGAAACGTGTAATCTGGTGCCCTGATGAGATGG